AAGAATTTAGGCTTAAAATTCGCCTGAAGTGGCAGGTTAAAAAATTATTCTACTCAAAGACTAAAAATTTTGCAAAAAAAGAACAAAGCTGACCTAAAAAGGAGCTTTAAAACTTATTATTGCTAGACTTACGGGCTAAGGATCAAACTTGTAACGGTTGCCAATTCAAAATGGAGCAAGTGAATATTTGAAATTTTCATTCCTCCAGTGTTTCTTAAAAGATCACTACGACGCATTTAATCCTTTTTTTTGTGTGTTCTTCTAGCGCATCTGCTCCCAGTTTTTGGGAATATCGCAGTATCATCAAAGACATGGGACGCCCATATCGACCGTTCGAGAGGACTTAGAATTCTTCAATTATGCATTCATAAAAATTACATCCACTGCTTGACCGAAATTTTGTTAAAATTCTTAACAAACTGTAAAAATAACTAATGCAGTTAAAGTGATCCTGTTTGGTTTGATTATAGCGCAGCTATAATTTTTGACATTACAAAACATAACCAATTTACTATTCGATTCTTTACTGGGCTCAAAAATGCCTAAAAACTGGCTAGAGTGCCCCAGCCTCTCGTGGAGCAGATGCGCTAGAAGGATACACAAAAAAAAAGGATTAAATGCATCTTAGAGTGCCCCAGCTTCAAAATTTCAACTGTTTTGGCCAGTGGATTGAAATGGGTGAAAAACATACAAAAAATAAACATACACACTCTTACACAAGTATTACTAAGACTCTTTTATAGGCGTCTTCACACTTTAACTGAAAAATGTGACTTAAAAATCTGCGAAAAGTATCATGGATTTCTCATTGATCATCAGAACTGTTAGTGCATGAATTCGTTAGGTTTATTCAACCACTGCCATATTCACGAAAGCCTCATCTTTCTCATCGAGCCTCGCTGCAACTATTTAAACCTTGGAATAACACCATAGAAGCCGAAATTGAAACTATTGACAGTTGCGGTTACTATTCCTGAGATGAATTTGCAGCCAAAAACGAAAGAGCAGGCCCTTAGCATGCACATTTTGTTTTTCCATGCCCATTTTATAACTAGCCGAGTTAGTAAAACAAAAAAAAAGAAAACACTGACAGTTCGAACTGTAAATGATTTGGGAAAAGAATGAAGGCTTCGCTAATTAAGTCGGTGATAAGTTAGAAACAAGGAATTCGGAACTGCTGATACTAAAGGTAAAGGCAAACTCGGAAAATTTATAATGGCCGTAATACGTAGGCAATAATGTGGAGTAGCGTAACTACCTCAAAAGACTTCTATATGCAGCAAAAGGGAGGATTATAAACATTAATGAATTAACAATAAGCATTAATGAATTTAAAAAAAATCTATTATGCAAAGCTAATTTAAAAGGAGTATTTTTCAGAAATAGCTGTATCCGGTGTATTGAATTATTCCAGTAACATCATTAGTATTGAATCCTCAAACTGACGGCCTAAGCGGCCTTGCTATTACCAGTATTTTTTGGGCAAAAAATCTATCTTTTTTCAACTTTTCGAAATGACTGAAGCTGCTCTTTCATCTTTTTCCCCGTAATATTTATTTGGCCAAGACAGCTTCAGTTATTCCTCGGTTTTTTACCAAACGGTTTGTTAACAAATGCGTTTTAACCCGGCGCAGTTCCCAAACAAAAAGGTGTTTTTTCAAAAATATTTGAGCTTTCAAAAACAACGATGTACCTCCTCATTTAGACCTTGCAGTTTGTTTGATTTCCCAGGATTGACTCTTTTCCGTCTCACATAAGGCTCGATTTCTTCCATACTCAGCAAACTGCTCTGAAAAATTACTTAGGTAAGACAGAGTTCAGCAGCTAGCTGGCATTTGTCTCTCACCCTCAACCTCGCTCATTCGCTTTTCAGAAAAAGAACCCGATAATTAGTTTCAATGGTAATGATAATTTTGCAAAATGAGCTATTTTTCCAGTGGGTAACGCATCCCAGGCACCCGGCAGCAAAGACTTTGCTTGCATTTGAAAATGTGCAACTTTCGACTAGGACAAATCACATGATTTCGCTCTGTCAACTGAAATGCAGCAGTTTTAGCATCTTAACGTTAAATTTCATGAACCGAAACATTCCTTTTCAGCATTTTAACTCTAATTCCTGTTTTATACTGATTTGTAACTCTAGTATTTTCCAGTTAGAGGTAATTGCAACTTTTTGATAGAGTTGTACATTTATCTGCTGATTTTTATACTTTCTGGACTAAATTTTTTTTTCCGGGGAATTCTGTTTTTCCTCCAAAAATTTTACGGATAATTTTTAATTTTTATCACTTCGTTTCCCGCATTTTGCATCACCATGTGGTCAGTTCTCTCTTAGTGCAAATACCAATATCAATTTCAATTTCAGCCCGGTTCACTTTCAGAGGTATTCAATATTCTCAGCGATGCGCATGGAAATTTGTGATTTTAGGCATGACAGCAGAAAATGCCTGCGAGGTGTTGCAGAATTTATCTATAAAAGAAGGAAATTAAAGCTCTTAAGGTGGATTATAGCTATAGAATTCTTTCTCGTTTTCCCGCCCTAATTCACTCGCCCATTTCTTGGATATGCAATATTTTTGGACATATATTGAGCAGATGGATCGAATGAGTGAATAAACAAAAAAAAAAAAAATTGAAAAAATAACCGTTCTTGGAGAATCCTCCGAATCGCTCATTTTTCGGGCCGGATTTGCGGGTTATCCACTTCCTCTGGACAACACGGGCGACATGTTGTCTGAAGCAGGAGATGGCTACTGCCCTCCCTCTTTGACGTATGTCCGCTCCGGGTACTGTCCCATACATCTGTCCTTGTTCTGTCTGATGCAGGGGTGGAGCTGCGAATTCCTCAGATGCGGGGCGGACTCTTCACGCTCATTTGTTTTTAAAATACCGTAAACAGATGGGCACGCAGTGGTTGGTTAGACCCAGGCGGCTGGACATCGTATTGCTTGGCACCCTGCAGTGTTCGCACAACTGCACCCACGGAATACGGTAGCTTGTTCCAAACGGCAGCTGGAGTGCCATTATGGAAATTTTTATTGCATCTTGCTACACCAGCTTTTGTTATGTTTATCTGCTGTTATTATGGTGGGGCCTCATTGACTTCCTTATGATGATATTGTGCTGCTTTTTAAATATGTATATTATGCTGCTTCTTAGAAGAGCCCAAAGTGCGAGGGTCGCACAAAAAAAGGAGGGACGAGGAGAAAGGGAGATGAAAGCGAGGTCAAAAGTGAGGCGAAGGAGCAGTTTGTGTTAAACGATCGCCAACGTTTGTACTTTCAACTGTTTGAAATTTGGAGGGTTGGTACTTAAGGTCCTCCAAGTGGGATGCGCTTGATCCTAAAGGAATTCGAGCACACCTTAGCCACACCTTTAACACTTTCTTCAGATATGCAAGGGGAACAGAATTCAGATATACCAAGCACACCTAGACCACCAAGCCACCAATGTTGATTTTTCGCGTTAGTGATGTTACTGAGCTGCTCCCATTCGCCCCGGGCAGCTATGCCAGGCCCTTTCATAATATCTTCATCTATAATCATAAAAATTTGTAGACATCACTATACTGCAGCTGCGGCGTACTTGTTTCTGAAGAAGCAAACTTTATACCCAAAACTGACTGTTTTTAGCAAGCATGAGAGCAAAATGTACTGAATAAAATGTCGCCGTGAGGCATAAGCAAATTTATTTACAATTTCACATAAAATAAATAGACAAAGCAGAAAGTTTCAAAAAAGTCGAATAAAACACATCAAAATCTATACAGCAACGCAGTGATGCAAGCTTATGAGAGTTTTACAATACATTCGGTCCCTGGGTATTCAGGTAACTGCAGATGATACTTTGCAGCAAGAGCTTCAGGTACGAATCGACCACCGAGGTAGTGTGCTCGGCCCTGAAAATGCTTCGCACAAAGTTTTGGCGCTGTTAACGATATTAGAACGTCGGGACTGAATGCAGGCTGTCCATTTATCGGTCCGTTTTCCACATCCCATCCTGAAAATGAAAACGTTTGAATAGCGAGGAAAGAACAGCGCCTCATTTCCTTACTTCAAAAAAAGGACTTCTGCTCTATCGCAATTTAAATAAAACCTCCAACGAAAGAAACATTAGGTTTCCAGAAAAAAATTTATTTTTAAAAAAACTTACTGATCCTTTTAAAAGTTATTAAAAACTTATTGTCACTTACTGTAAGAATTTGCGTGATATTTAAATGAGCATATGCCTGATTCTATGCGGCGCTAAAATTTACTTTCGCAGTAAATCCTCTGCACTAAAATGTTACATGGATTCCCAACAGGCCTCCTTAACGCTATAAATGATCTCATTTTGGGATTAGATAACACTCG